CTGGCTCATGTGTTTAATCCCTGCATGTGGGAGGCAGAAGCAAAAGGATCTCTGTGTTTGAGGTCAGCCTTGTCTTCATAGAGTGGCCCAGTAAGAAAAATAAAAAAACAAACGAACAACCCCCCCCCCCCAACAACCAACAACAACAACAAAAAAACCAGAGACAGAAGCTTTCTCTGTCCCTGGAGCTCATTATATAGGCCAGCCTGGCCTCAGAGTCACAGAACTCAAACTGCCTCTTAGTGCTGCTGCACCCAGCATTTCGCGTTTTTTAGATTTTTGGTTTTTTATTCTATGTATATGGGTATTTTGCCATCATGTGTATCTGTGCATTATGTGTAGGTTAGGTGCCAAAGGAGCTCAGAAGAGGGCGTTGGATCTCCTGGCACAAGAGTTTTCCCCGGAACTAGAGTTACAGGTGTTTGAGAACCGCCATGTAGGCAGTGGGGACTGAGTCCAGGTTCCCTGAGAAAGCAGCCAGGGCTTTTAACCACTGAGCCATCTCTCAGCCCCAGTCTTTTCTTTTTGATGTACGATATGTTGTGTTGTATTGTTGTTGTTACTGTGTGTGTGTTTGTGTTTGTGGTGTTATATGTGAATGTTAGCTTCTGTGTGTGCAGGTATGTGTTTGGGTACATATGTATGCATGTGTTAGTATGGAGGACAGCAATAGAGAGTAAGTGTCTTTCTCTACTGTTTTCCACCTTTTATTCTCTTAGTTTTCCACACTCCAGTTACATCTCTGATGAAAGCAGTACATTTGGGGGAATAATTGACCCCAAATCCAATAGAAATAGTGCTCAATCAGGAAAATGTTTAGGACAGCAGTTCTCGAATGTTGGTTTCCAGAACTACTTGCTAGAGTTTTCACCTCTTTCACTTGAAACAAAATAAAAACATATGTAATAATGAAGTTTCAGAATACATTGCTTTAACATACAAAGCTGAAATTTTCCCAATATGATGGCCACCTTTTATTCTAAGTTTCATGACATTTTGATATTAAAACATTTTCTCTGATGCATAGGGAAACGAAGAATGCACAGTAATTGTTTTTGAATCGTCTTCACAAACTAGATAAAAACTTGCATTGCTGTTTAAGGCGTGGCTTCCAATGTTTCAGGAGAATTTATCCTGGTGTATGAAATGTAAGTCTGGTAAGTCATTGGCCTGAAGGTGAATGGCACAGTGGTCCAACGGAAAGAACCCCGGGCCAGGAGATACCTCATCTCACAAGACCACTAGTCATCGCACTTTAGAGAACTCTTTTCCTTCTTATAACTTGGTCCTTATTCCACTCTCGGTGGACTGAGCCAGATGCTCACTCAGCCCCTTTACTTCAGCCTTCTGCTCTTACTCAGGTGGAGTAGCTAATTCTTGATAACGGTGGGGCTGTAGCTTACAGTCTCGGCGAATCTTGTTTATCTGCTTCGTGGAAAACATAGATAAGATGGTTTAAGGGAATCCAAAAGCACAATGCCCTTGAAAGTCAGCTGACAGCTGCTCAATAGATGCTGAAATGAGCCCCTCATAGAATGTGCTGGGATGTGTCCGGGTGGCTGGAATGCCAACAAGAGAGTTCTATCTTAAGGATCGTGTTGGCTTAGTCGCATCATGAGTGCCCTACAGGCAGTAAACATCTGTTTACGAGATTTTCCCTCTCTTTTTCCACTCTGTTCTTTGTGTATTTTATCCTTGCTGGAGAGATAGCTCAGTGGTTAGGAGCACTGCCTGCTCTTCCAGAGGACCTGGGTTCAATTCCCAGCACCCACATGGTGGTTCACAACCATCTGCAATGCTAGCCTCAGGAGATCAGGTGCCCTCTTCTGGCTTCTGTGGGCACGAGGCATGTGTATAGCACAGAGACATACATGGAGGTAAAACGCCCCAGACACAAAATAGGAAGGTGTGTTTAAAAACATTTTTAAAAAGAAAAAAGAAATTATTAGGGCAGATTTTAGTTGGTTTTTCTCTTGGGTTGTACTGAGGATATTTCCAGGCCCTTGTGCATGTTAGATGAGAAGTCCATAGCCTTTGTCTGGTCTGAGACATTCACAGTGCTTTCATATTCTTATCTCAACACAATAAAACCCAGGATAAAGTGATTCTTCAGTCCAGCACAGAGTCTGAGTCCCTACTGTGCACATGATAGACAATAAGTAGCTGACACTTAAATCGTAATAAAAATGCAGTTATTTATTTTGGGAATCTTGCCCCATTATAAATGTATCTAGTATATATACTATACTGTTCTTTTTCTATTAGAAAAAAAATAGTGATTTAATATGCCCAGGGGCCTCTTGGTATAGCTATCGTACAGTTCGGTGTGTGCTTCTTAAGTGCCATAATAAACTTGACCGCTCTCAGGGACTCTGATCCATTATGGTAGTGGAAATGCTTTACAACTATCTGGCCAAATGTTTGTGGAACAGCTGTGCCACTACTCTGCCTGAGTCATTTTCCTTCTTTCCTCTTGGCCCAGTCCTGTGATTCATCATTCTGCTTTTAGAATATTTGCCTATTTTTAAAACCAGTCAAAGAAGGCAGCCACTGTTTAAAAGTAAACACCCCTTACACCAACACGGGGTAGCTTTGTAAGCAGCTTCTCAAACGCTGAAATTTCTGGCAGGCCAGGCTGCCAGCTGAAGCAGATGGCACGGAGCAGGAGATGCCGGTTGGCTTTCAGAGCTGGTAGACTCCTTGCATCTGTCTTCGTTTTTTCTTGTTTCCACTGCTATTTCCTGCTTGGGTTAATCCAGCTCGATCCGTTCTGAAGCAGAATTCTTGCTTTCATTCTGCTCATCTGTAAAACATCCATTATGTCCAGTAGACTTTCCTTTCAGTCGAAGACTTCCATTTGCAAGGGTTCATTCATCCACATTTTAACTTCATGCTCACATGTGTCTCAGCACGGTGTGATGGTATAAAGGCCCTGATTTCTACGTTACCTCATGTGTTCTGTGTCCCAGCAGGTAATTGCTGTTTACAATGTGTGAGTGCAGCTTGTGGATAACTACCCTCCATTTTTTCTCAAATAATGGAGCAATGAGTGTGATGTACAGCACATCATAAGGAAGGCGTAAATTTCAGGAAGCCCTGATCTTTATTCTCAGTATCCTCTAAAATTCTATGATGCCCTGTCTGTGTTTGTACTCTACGGAAGTGGTTTCTCTTTCCAAGGGCCTCCTCATCTGTGGTCATCATGGTTGGGATGCCAAAGTATAATATGTTCCTGTTTACTGTGCCAAATCCCCCTGGCTTTGGACCTGATGAGCTCAAACACTCACAATGTGTAGGCTTTTGAAAATGCACTGCAGTAAATGAAATGCCCTGAAGACCCCAGTCAGTCTTACACACTTCATAACAGTGTGTCGGTAGTGATTCTTTCATCCAGTCTCTTTGCTGATGATGGTGTGGGATTGAGACAGCCACAGTAACTAGCTAGAATTTGCTCTTTCTATTTGATAGGAAGCAAGCGTTCAAAGGGCACAAACTTCGATGAAGCCTGTGTTTAGGATTACCAGTGAACCCTGGATATCCACTGGCCAGCAAAGCTTCAGTTACACATTTTAAGTTCAGTTTTGGTGATATATTGCCATTATTTTAGGTCACTTTTAAGTGGTAAATATTTCAATACTATTGACCAAAATATACCGATGACTATTAAGTGACCTGACCCCTGAGCTGTTGGTGGTTGTCTTCCATGCCTTCAAAGAGCTGAAATCTCCCAGAAGGCACGATGTTCTGCATATTTACTATATATTTTTTGGACCATGCTGTCAGCGAGCTGGCCTTGGGTATTTGTGAGGTTTGTATCTGGATTCATCCAAGGGTAGGAAACACTTATAATCATGCGTGTACTTAAATGACACAGATTTCTTCTCAGTCCTTAACCTGGACTATTTCCAGAGCAACCACACTGTATTGTTAAGAGTTACCTAGAGCTGGGCAAGGTGGTGAATGCCTTTAATTCCAGCACTCAGGGAAGCAGAGGCAGGCAGATCGATGTGAGTTCCAGGCTAGCCTTGTCTGCAAAGCAAGTCCAGGACAGTCAAAGATACACAGAGAAAGCCTGTCTCAAAAAAACCAAAGCAAGCAAACATATACACAAACAAAAAAATTACCTAGAGATGAAAGTGTGAGTATCCATTTAAGTTATATGTAAATGCTACATTTCATATGAGTGACTTGAGTTTAGCGTCCTCAGATTTTTATCCATGAATGGTCATGGAAATAAATCTCAGTGGATACCAACCATGACTCTTTTTGTCTCTTTGTTGTGTATGCATGCATGAATTAAAATGAACATTAATTGATTTTTATCAGTGAATTTTATTATATTAGTGAGAAATTTAAAACTAGTGTATTTCCTTGTTTTGTTTTGACTTGAAATGGCTTTGGTTTTAAGTGTGTGTGGTGTGCATCAAAAGCCTATGGTTAATCAAACTGCTTATGTGTTTGTCAGTTGTGTGGGCTCAGGCTCATTCGGAAACACAGCTGTGGATGCTGCCCCAGGTTGGTACTGTTGCCTAACACAGTGGGAGAGATTCCCTGTTTGGGCTGCTGGCTGTTACCCACAGCAACCTGCAGTGAGGGCTGGAGAGCTGTTTGTACATGGTGGCTTGTGACAGAGGAAAGGGTAAAACGATTTAAGTGAAGCTGCTGTTTGCCATGCATGTCCTTCTGCAACGTTGGGGTTTTTCTGGCCACCCTGTTAGCACATTGTTAAAGCACTTTTGTGCAGATCATAGTTTTTGGTTTGGGCTAATGTGACAGTGTTATGTAGCCCCTTTCAATTGGAGAGCTACCGGAGTAGACATTCGAGGATGGACACACACACACACACACACACACACACACACACACACACACACACACTTTTAAAAACTTTGTGTCAGGCCAACCAAGCTCTCTTAGTGCTTTCATGCATACAGAAGATGATCAGGGATGCTCATGATACACAGGGCATGCTGGGTAATCACTGTGTTTTCATGTTTTAGATGATACACCATCTGAAGATGCCATTCCTTTGGTCTTCCCAGAATTAGAGCAGCAGCTCCAGGTAAGGATTCTGCAAGTATATGCCTGCTTTCCTATCGTGCCCCAGATACAGTGATCCAGGAGATGGCTAAGTGGAAAATAAGCATTGATACACAGGTTAGAGGGATTCTAGGTCATAAACATTTGCATTTGTGGAGCTCCGAGGTCAGACAGAAGCAGTTACAGAAGGTCTCCCGGTTACCCAGCTATGATAGCTGAGCTTTAAATGTTCAGAGTCAAGTAGCTCTAGTCGAGAATGTGTTTTGCCCCACTTTAGTTTGCTATGATATCTCCTAACCATCGGACTGTCTACCACTTTTGAACCTTGTTTTGTCAGATTCCCTAGAACTGCGGTTACAGATGGTTGTGAGATGCCATGTTGTTACAGGGAAATTGAACCTCGGGCTGCTAGAAGAGCAGCCAGTTCTCTTAGCTGCTGGCGTAGCACCTCAGAACCAACACAGAGCCACCCAGACACATCCTGGACTCTTGCAGGAGCCAAAAGTCCTCACCTCTGCAGCACACATGGGTGTCATCATTTCCTTTCAGTAACTAGCCTGCTAAAGATTGCTTAGCGGGCGGGAGAGCTGGTGGTTACCACACCGCTAAAGTCTGTGGCTTTACAATCCTGAAGATGCTCTCTCCAGATATCAGGCTGTTCCTGTCCCTCTGTTCCTTCCACCCGCTCTAAGAAGACTCTTCAGCCAGGTTCTCTGGAGGCTGACTCAAATCACACTTCTTTTACTCCCACACTGGTCCAGCATCTTTTCAGTATTCAGTATTCCGTCTCTCCAGGCTCCCCCTTTTTTTTCTGTTTTGCTCCCACCACAAATCACATTCCTGAGGTGCTAACCTCCAGGGTTTGTCGATACATGTTCTGCCAGTGGTATAGTAGGGACTGTGAAAGGAATATATTCCCTTTTATCATGCTGTCGTCTCAAAGCTGTTTTATTGTCATGGCAATTAGATGAAAACAGGGGTCACTATGTTTTGAAAATAAATCAGTCAATTCAGGTTCTTATTCCCCCATGAAATTATAAATAATGACTTCGTTCTCTCTCTCTCTCTCTCTCTCTCTCTCTCTCTGTGTGTGTGTGTGTGTGTGTGTTGGAAAAACCATTTTTCTTCCAGAGCTTGTGGTACAGTCTCTATAGAGCAGTCAGAGTACCCCAGTGATTATCCCGATAATTTTCTATGAGAGCTTCATGAAGTCCATTTGAATTTTATAGCTTTAATTCTATTTGACATATATTAGAAATTAAATCTGTTTAATTATTTTATTCCAGTGAGAAACTTCTATCTTTATTGATCTTTAATGAGGTAGGCATCATGGTTGCTGCTGTAGGGGTTTCAATTTTCTCCTTCAGTGTGGTTATGCCATTACCTCTTCCTAGACAGAGAAGATATCGCTAGTCTCAGAACAAAACATGCCCAAGTAAATCTGTGTTTATGGAGGGAGAGATGAGACTGGCTTTGTTATTAACACTTAACAGTTGTCAAGACTTTTGGTTTGAACTCCCTCTGTCTAGAGCTATTGCTTATAATCTTTATTCTCCATGGCAGGGTGTGAGTGCCAAAAATGGAAAACCAAAAACCAAACCAACTACAACAACAAAAACCAAGACAGTGAGGGCTGAGGAGGAAAGAGCACGCTCCTGTTCCCGGGCTCAGGCACACACGTGAGCCATCCTACATCAGACAGTTCTGTATTAAAAAAGAAACCACCCTTACACGGAACAGGCCTTCCTTACAGTCAGCCTTGAGTTCCAGTTTGTAATTCTCATTATTGAGTATCATAATCCACCATGGGAAAATAAACTCTAGTTAGAAAGAAGAGTCTTGTGGGTGTCACTACTCAGGAGACCTAAAACATTGCCAAGTGAAGAACAAACGATGCCAGCTGCTACTAGGTTCCACCTCTGCATACTGACTCTGAGGCAGGCAAGGGCCATTTCGCTCCATGTGATCTTACTTGGTTCTTGCTATAATTATAGAAGCTAACTGTTCTGTCTCCACTTTATACGTGAGAAACTTGAGGTCAAAGTTTCGTCTAAATCAATTCGCTGATCTCTTTCTCTTAGTGCTTTTTGTGGAGCACATGGCCTGTTTAAATTAGTTTGATAAATCGGGATTTGTTTTGCTTCAAGGTTGGCAAGGTTACCAGGATGTAGTTCTAGAACCGCCTTGTAAAACTTATTGGAACTTTCTTATATCTCTTGCACATTCCTTGGTAATTTATAAAGCATGGCTATGCAATATCTTTTTGGTAGATACTCTATCATCAATTTCTTTTTCTGTTGCTTTGCCAAGAATGTGGACATGTTTGAACATGCAATTCATGGTGCTTCTATTTTCACAGAAGCCAAAAAAAGCCTTGGGCAAGAATAGCAATGACAAACCTATCTCTTGATATCTCTATTAATGCAAAATCGTGGTTCAGAGACCTCAGGGTAAGGTACAATGAAGTGAACATTGCTTTGCAATGTTCATTTCTAGGCTTCGAGCCTCTGCTAAGGAGCAGATGGGAGGCTAATTTTACACTCCTTTCTTGGGACTAAGTTTTCAAAACCCTTGTGAGTATCAAGAGTGATATTTGGTACAGCAGGTTTAGATTATATAATTAGAAGAAAAGGTGAAATTCTATGTCCACTACTTCAAGGGTGAATGAAAAATTACTACTTTTCTCTTTTCTTTAGGGAAAAGTAGTTTTCTTCTATTTGTAAAGGTGTTAACAGACTTCTGTCTTTTCTCTATTCAGAAGGAATCTCCCAAGGCAAAGCCAAGTTCATCTTTCAGCTGCAGTGGAAGAGCTGTGTTTTAGTCATTATGGCTTGCCTCACTCTCTTCAGCTAATTAACCTGTCTCACACTGTGGAGGGAATGAAGTATGGTAAAGAGGAGCCCTAAGAAAGTACTTGGGAAACATTGTGACATAAATAGTTACATAAATAGTCTTCAACATAAATAGTCTTTCTTGGTGAAGTTCTTGATTGAACAAAATATTTAGGATTAAGTGATTTCTTTCTTTCTTTTCTTTATTTTTTATTTATTTATTTATTTTACTATTTCTTTATTTATTACGTGTGTAAAGAAAAACCAAAGATGCGTGCCTCCACATTCTGGGCTACAGACAAAGGTTTGGATGTTCTCTTTATCAGGTCAAGGCACTTGGAAAACAATGATCTTAAAGAGAAAAGAAAGAAAGAAAGAAAAAAGGACGAATTGAGCAATAGCTTCAAAGCCTTCTAAAGCCCTCTCGTCTGGTGGGGGGGGAGCGGTGACAGTGACAGGTGTCTCCCTGGTACACACTGAACTTGCCCTTTCTCAGACAGAGTCCTGTAAGTTCAGAATCTGATGTCACGTCTACAAATAAACAATTTCACAGTTTCACTGGAGTATCATAATATATCATTATCCGTACAGCCTCAGTTTCAGCTGAGAGTCATAATATATGGTTATCCAGGCAGCCTCTCCAGAAACTTCTTAAGTGCTTGCCTCGGTGTAGCCTTTGACATCTGGGAAATGAAAACGTTGAAAGATGAAGTGAGCCTATCTCCCCCGAATTCTGCTACTATGACATCTTCAATACTCTCCTGGAACTGTGGTCAGGAAAGGCTGAGGGGAGGGAATACTGCTGAAAATGGCCAGTAGCTCTCATCTCTTTCTGGTCCACACACAAATAAAAGTGTCTTAGAGTTATCCTTTGGCTTTCATAGCCATTCAGAAAAAAAAATAAGTACACACACACACACACACACACACACACACACACACACACGTGAGAAAGAGAGAGACAGAAAGACTATGTGTTTTGGAGCTTTACAAACGTAATTTTTTGAAAGTCCAGTCAATCAGTCAGTGGTTATAAGGAAAAAAGTCTGAGAATTCTTTAATTACATTGCTCTTTGATAGTCTCTGGATCAACAGAGAGGACACAAATGTATTTTACTCCAAGCTGAATCATGTGTAAGTTTCACAGTGTAAATTCCAGCGCTTACTAGTACTATAATGTAGGTGTTGTAGAAGTGTCTGTTACTATAATATTTTTTCAAATCCCTAACGTCCCAACATAGTAAAAATTTGAATGACCATAGTTGGATGTACTCTAGAATGTCCTTGCTCCAGTATGGACTAGTTTTCTCCTCTTAGTTTCAGCGGACTATGCTTGTTAATTTTGAGAGACATTAAAATGGAGTGTAATCTCTATTCTCTGCCCAAATAGTTAATCCCGAGAATCAAGAAATAAATACGAACTTCACTCAACCACTGTAGAATGTTTGGCTTCCTAAATATATCTTCTGTGTGGGAAGCTGGGGTCGGAGAATTCAGTTCTTGTGTTTTTGGAAGTGAACAGGGCCAGTAGTTTCTGAAGTAGCCAAGCAGAAAACGGAAATGCTTAAGCCGGCGTTGTCCCTTGCTAAGGGGTGCTTGGCAGCCCGCTTTCTCACGGGCTCACTTCCAAAGGATGCAATACACTTCTGGAGGCTGTGAGCACATGGCTGAGATAGCGCGGTGTGGTTCAAGCCGCATTCTTGAACAGGAGCCTGCGGTTTGGTTTCTCTCTTACTTCATCATGTTAATTTAGTCCTGGTGATTGGACTGGATACCAGAGGCTTCCCGACTCTGCGGTGTAATTTAAAGCCTTCGTAAGCTCCATCTTCTCAGGAAAAGGGGTGAAGAGGAAGTCACTGCCCTAGGCTCTGACCTCATCCAAGCCCCACTCTGTGCCTTGGAAAACAGTGTCCCAAAGTTGAGGCTTGGAGACAGCTTTATTTACCAGGAAGATACCTTCACATGGAGTGAGACTAAAAGACAGTTTCTGTGAAAACATACAATCTTAAACAATTACTTTGGGGCCGGGCGGGCGGCATACTACCAGAGACTGAACCCTGGGCCTCCCGATAGCTAGGCTAGGGCTCTGCAGTCACTGACTGTTTCCCAGGCTGCTCTAGGATGTTGGGAATATCCTTATCTTATCATTGCTCACTATTTGGGGATTCAGTCCTGTTGGAATCAGCCTCAATCCTTTGACAGGAGTGTGGAGTAAGGGCATCTAGGTGCAGGAAGTGAGGCATGATAATGAGGGGGTTACAAGGGCCCTGTCTCCTGATGTAAGAAGAAAGCACAAACATGACATTTGTTTACTGCTCCCTACATCCAGTATGGGATTTAGTGGAAATCTCTCTAACAGAAATCATTAAAATCAAGTATCAGGAATAAAACCACCGTTATCTTTACTGTTGTTTTGATTGTTCTTGCTTTGTTTTGTTTTTTGAAATAGTCTTATGATGGAGCAGTTTGTTGCTGAGCTCAGTAAATAGCTGGAGATTGATTTTGATCTGTTGGTTCTCTGCCTTTCAAGTACTGGGATTCGAGGAGTGCGCCATACCTGGAAGACACTGTTACTTTTACTCCCAAAAATTAATGGTTTCTCTCTAGCTATACCAGGAATTCTCCTAGATTATACATTGGTTTTCAATTTGAACATGTGTTAAGCAGGCTCACAAACTAATTAAATCATACATGCCTGGGTTTAAATGTTCCATTACTTAACCCTACTGGTAGTTTTGTTTTTTGCTTTTGTTTTTTTTTAAATTGATTGATTGATTGATTGATTAATAACAAGCTCTGGCAAGCTTTCACAAAATCCTTTTCTGGTTTACTTTTCTCCAGTGTGTGCTGGCATGCTTCTAATGATGTGAGAATGGCTTGGATCAGCGACAGCCATCATGCTCATTCTGTACTATTTTCCATGTGCTGTGTTCAGTTCAATATCCTTGCCACTGGAGTGATGGACACCAGTTTTAGCCAAAACGACATAATATTCTGTGTCAGAGCTCCTCAAAGCTGGGCATTTGGCAAGGATGAGTAATTTCCCTCGCCTCCATCTGTCTTCAGAGTCATAAATTTTCCAGTTTTCACAAGTTGAAACTTGGAATTGATCAGCTTCAAAGACCTTTTCATCTTTTTTTTTTTTTCAGATGCCATGTTTTGCCTTGGTCTGGGATGGCCCTCAACCAAGAGCTGGTAGCTCTGTTGTTAAGCTATAAATCATGTGTGTATGCTTGGCTGTTAGGGATGTATTTCCTCAGGTGGAATTTTAATTTATCGAACATCAGCTCCTCTTTTGAGGAACATTAAGAAGGTCAGAATGAGCTGCTATCTTGAGAGCCTAAGAGCAGTACACACCTACCATAAAGCAATAGAGGGGCTGGAGTTGGAGCTCAGTTGGTACCCTGCTTACATAATACAGCCCCAGGGTCAGTCCCCAAGACAGCATACGCCAGGCATGCTGGTACACAGAGGTAGGAGCAGAAACTCAGGGTCATCCTCAGCTACCTAGTAAGTTTAGGGCCTACTTGATGACATAAGAACCTGTTTTAAAAAACATGGCAATGGGTAGTATTAGGATGCACAGGTTAGCATATCATTATCCTAAATTATATTTGTTATAAAACTTTGAAGTCTTATTGCTTGGAATTTCTTCTGGGACGCAAACCCCAGGCACAGAAACAAATTCTTCAATGAATTTGCTGTAGAAAAAAAAATAGGTTTCATTATGGCATTTTCATCTGTGTATACAATATGCTTTGATTATATTTGCACATACCTCAAATGCCCTCACCTGTCCCTCCCCGCCTCCCACAGGCTTCCTTCTTTCACAGTACACGTCTTAAAATTTCTACAGTTAACAGATGTCAGTTAGCCAGACACACTGGTGTATATATGCAATTCCAGCTGATTATGGGGCTGACACTTGAGGAGACAGGTGTTAGGGCCACCTAGACTCCATAGTGAACTTAATGCAAGTTGCGTAATTTAGCAAGATCTTGTCCAAAAAGAAAAAAAAAGGCCCAGAGATGTCACGCAGTGGTAGCATGCTAAAGTGCAAATAAAAACAATGAAAGAAAAGGGGTGGAGGGGGGTGCTGGGGCAATGGGTCAGCACTTTGGAACAATGTCTTCTCTTCTAGAGGGTGGGGGTTCCGTTACCCAGATCCACATGGCAGCTCAGAACAGTCTGTAACTCTGGTTCTAGGTGATCTGACACCTTCTGGCATCTGAGAGCATGCATGTGGTCCACGTATATGAACACAAGCAAAACACTCATACTCAAATACCTACAAAACACAAAAGCAAAGTCATGGGAAATAATCCCACTTACTAAAAAGAATTGCAAGGTGCCAAGCAAAGGAAGGAGGAGGGAGGAGTCCCCCATCACCTGAAGAAAGTGCACTTGGGATTTTCAGTTTTGACCAGCAGTTGTCCATGTTTATTCTCTCGGATGCAGAGCCCATACACAGGACTTTAGATTGGTTTGGCTACGGCATGAAGTAGCAGCTGGATTAGAGGCTCAGGTACTTGCAGGTGGCAAGCGATGTGCTGAATCCTGCTTGAACGGAGCGTGGCTTCTGTGGTGTTTATGAGGACAGGAGGGCGAAATGTGTGATCTATTGGCTGCCAGTGGGCAGATCCTTTAACAGGGCACAGATGATTTAGAAGCTTGGCTCTGGAGCCTGGGGTATGCTACTATCATTCCACTGACTGTTAGAGTTGATAACTTGCCAGTGTAACAGGTGAAAATTGGTGAGTGGGTTGAGATTCTGGGACACAGACTGGAGGAGCCAGGAGTTCCGAATTCCTTTGGCAAGGGCTTCACCTCCTAGGGTGAATGATATTGTCATACTACTGTGTCCTAGTTTTCCTTTTTTTTTTTTTTTTCTGTATTAAAGAGGATCATGGTTACAGTTGGCTTGGGCTGACTCTGTGAATGTGCTCATAGAGATTCAGGGAAAGATCAGAATTTTAAATCAGAATTTTAAAACATCGTATACCTTACTCTTATTATTAACAATATGTATTCATTGTGCATATTAACAAATTTCAGTGTGACATGTCAGTAATGCATACATCTGTTTAGAATTTTTCTTCCTTTAAGTGAGCAGGGTCCTATTTAGCTATCATCCAGAGCATATGCTTTATGGAACTTCTGTTACTTACTGAGTAAGTGCGAAACCCAAAGAAATCTGTGTGTTTGAACAATATAGGAGCAAATGCCAAGAAATCTACTAGTTAGCATTTTACTAATGTAAGTTTGTGAGAATAGTACCTGGTCAGACACACTACTTACCTACATAGGTTATAATGACAGATAAGACCAAAGAACTTGTTCGACAACAAACTTTCATGGTTCTCAGATTTTGCATGTTTTTTTTTCCATAAGTAATTAGGGAGTGATTTAAAACTCTTTAAAAGATAATTAATTTCTACCCCAAACAGTAGTGTTTTAAATCACTCCCTGCTGATATAGAAATAAGAATAAAAACTCATGAAAAACTAGTTTGTTAAGAGTGATTTCTGGAAGTAAGAAATCTGTCAACAGTAGACATCTGTTAACTGTAGAAATTTTAAGACGTGAACTTCGGAAGAAGGAAACCTGTGGGAGGTGAGGGCATTTGAGGTATGTGCAAATGTAATCATGTTATATTTAGAAAGATTTGCCAGGTGGACCTGTTTTCCTCATAGATGGGTGGAGTGAAGAACCTCAAATCTGTTCTCTGTTCAACCTCATGGTGCCGCAAGCAGGTTTAGGGATCTGATCTTCCTTACCAGTCTGCTACTTCTGCCAGCACCATCGCCAGCCTTACAACCTATCTCTGAGTTGATCATGCTACTCAGAGGAGAGTCCTAGTAGGACTGCAGCACTCTGATGGGCTTGTGCTTGTGGACCATGACGTAGACAAAAAAGGGAAATGAAAACAGACAACTGCAGTATTTCTACTGATCTTTTCTAAAGCAGTTTCCAATTTGCAAGAAGAAGCACAAATTAATGGGAAACATATTTTTCACTCACACATTACAGGTAGGTCTTGTGGTTCTGGGTCAGGGATGAGATGCCCATGAATGTCACAGGAAAGTCGATGTGAGCATAGTCATCCCACCGCTCTGTGTTCCCTCTAACAGAAGTAGAACATAGCTCTTGGCCATGTTTATTGACAATGCTGCTTCCTGATGCAATGGACTGATTGCTTCTTCTTGTCTGTGCAGCCCCTGCCACCTTGTCACGACTCCATAGAATCCATGCAGGTGTTTAAACAACACTGCCAAATAGCAGAAGAGTACCATGAGGTCAAAAAAGAGATCGCCCTGCTTGAGGAAAGGAAGTAAGTACCTTCCCACTGAGTCTCTTCCACTAAGCAGACACTGCGGTGGGTGGGATGGGAGAGGGTTGTAGGAGCAAGCAACAGACCTTCTATGGATCAAGTGCTTTTATCTGTGGACTAGGGAAAAGAGCTATGGGCATGCTTCCACTCAAAATTCTTTTTTTTTATGAGAGATTTTAGTTAAGAAAATTAAATTTGCCAAAATATCATCCAGGTCCATGCCATATTTTCCATAGCCATACACAGAGGTTTCGGGCCATTTCGGCTTGATTTTTCATTTATGTTTAAGCAGTGGAGGTCTTCCATTTAAACGAAAATCCCCTTTAGAGTTATGTGAATGTATTAGTTGACTAACTGCATTTTATAGTCCCAGTAAGTTTTTATCTTGATAGCATTTATTATTATTACGGGTCTGCTATGGAAATTAATTAGAACACTTTGATTTTACTGACTTTTTGTTTCACTCACTGTAATTGCACTCAGTTCTGTCAATCTCTATCCTCAATGACTCTGACTTTTTAATTCCTGAAAACCATCAAGTTAGACACCGTGTCTTCATCCTCTGGCCAGTTTTTTCTTATGTACGTATTGGGAAAATCTGTCGGTAATATTTACGCCTTGAATAAGGGGACAAGTTATGTTACTATTTTTTTTCTCTTTCATATAGTTTCTCAAGTCCTATTTCTTTATTTACAGTTCTTCTATCTGGATTTAAGATTTTCTGCTTCAAAATCTTCATTGGTGAAATATTATAATTTTTTTCCTTCCTGTTTTTTTTATCTTCCTTTTCTTTAAGATCAATGGCAGTTTCTGCCTCTTCCTCCCTTTCTTTCCCCTTCTCTCTCTGGAGACATAGTCTCATCATCCCAGGTTGGGGACAAACCTGCTATATAACCAAAGACAACCTTAAATTGCTGCTCTTCCTGCTTCACCCTCCTAATGTCACAGACACGTGCTGCTACACCTGTTTTATGAAGTGCTGTGTGTCAAACCCAGACAGTCTACAATCTAGGCAGGCACTCTCCTGACTGAGCTCCACTTCCAGGCTCAACAGCCAGTTCTGGCCTGGATTTCACAACTAAGACCCTCTATAGGCCTTCCTACCTTGACCCTGTCTCAACTGCATTGTTCTATTACCCTTCCCAGGCTGGAGCTGATCCTGTTTGTCTGTTCCACATGCAACAGTTCCTCAGAGAAGGCTTATCCCGTTTCTTCACCCATGGTGATCAGATCTTTTCTTTAGCAATGGAAGAGCCTCTGGAATAATTCTTTGAACTCAGCAGGCCAATGTTATCAGTAGACATGCTTAAACTTATTCTTGTCTTTATGACTCTCTGTCACTCTTACAGACACATGCGTTCTTTAACATCTTTGTTATCCTTATCATCCAGCATGGAGCTGTTCATAGAGATCAAATACGTATAAGGTTGATCTAAGGTAGCCCATGATAGGTTGTAGTAATGTCCTCTGCATACACATATCTGTTTGCATTTAAAAATTCAGAGTTGATGTCAGTAAGGGTTATGAAGATAAACTGTTAAATCACTAAGTATCGTTGGAGCCATCACCATATGGAATCTGTCCTCTGGGGGCTGTTGTCAGCAGCACTGTTTTTCATTATGCTGTAGTTCATTTCATAACATCTTTTTTTCTGAACAGTCTTTGTTTTCAAGCAAGATAAATCAGGCTCTGTGGATTTGACCCAAGCAATTTGCATTCCATTTAAAAATGATTCTGATGAGAGTTTCCATCCCAACACTTCATAAAGTGTGGCCGACTGTGATGCCTTTGGCAAGTGGCCCATGCTCGTAAGACACAAAGATTCTGAAGTATTTTAGAAGATGCTTTCTGTACTGGAATTGCTGGAGCTCAGCCTGATATTGGAACTTGAGGCTGCACTTTTGTTGTCTCTCCAGAGGAGGTCTCCCTGGATCAGGTTTGAGAGAACTTACAGAAGTGTTCCTGGTCATGGCTGATGGGTAGATCAAGATAGTCAAGCCTTCTCATCATGGGATAAATCCTGCTTGTTTATGTTTATTTCTGGCGTATGACTGATTACGTACAGAGCCAGTTCCCACTTTAGTTGGCTCATCTAGGCCTGCTTGCCTGTAATCATATTCCTTGTAATTGCATAGGTTGTGGCACCTCACATCTTTTGGGTACATCTTAAAAGTATTCATTCCCATTCCAACATCATAGAGCTTTAGAAATCTAGCATCAGGTGCCAGGAAGAAAAGATTTAAAATATATGAGTAGATTACAACCAGTTGTGAAGGTTACTGAGTTCCAGACCTAACTATATCTTGTCTGGTAGAGAAAGTAATTCTCTGAACTTTGTATGAACCATGCTTGGGCAACTAACACTATCAGAAACGGATAGAGTTACAAAAGATTAAATGATATTTCTTACTGAAATTTTCTGTTTGATGATTCAGGGCTCTGCAGTGCTTTCAGTGTTACATCGTATTCATCATGGATGTATACTATTTCACCAGCCCATAAGAAAATCTTGTAGTCTTGAGCAGTCCCTCTTATTGTCCCCTCTTCCTAGCTATTTTAAGAAACCTATTTCCAGTCTCTACCAGCTTGCTGCTGGGCATTTTAAAATGAATGTTATAGTGTGATATGTTTTTGTTGTGGCTCCCAGACTGTCATACCATAATGTATCATGGTTCATCCATGGATCACAAACCTGGGCTTCTCCCTTCTTATTTGTGGATAATATCCCATCATATACACCTGATTTGCCTTTCATTGGATAATGTACATTTATGTTGTTTGCATTGGTTAGTATTTTGAATAATATCATTGCAAGCATTTGTGAGAAGTTCTCATTTTTGCATGTCTCTGCTAGTGCTTGCTCTAGGCCCTTCTGAAGAATAGCCACACTCCCGAATGGAAATGATGTGTCATTGTGGTTTTGATTTACATTCCCCTGATGGCTATGCTGTTACACAACTTTGCATGCACTTCTGGGCCATGTCTATGTTTTCTTGGAGAAATGTTTATTTAAAGAGGGTTTTAAAGGGTTTAAGATAGTTAACTTTTTATCGTTGAGTAGAAGGATCAATACCGTTAGTAGGTTTGGGTAAAGCATTAAAAGGGGGTTTTTGTATTAGGAAGCCACAAACACAGTAAGACCTACATGCTTATGTCTTACTAACATGCAGAGTGGTGAAGAAGAACAAAAGCTTGTCTAGGAAGCATTGCAGTGTACAGTGTGAAACATGGCAGAGAATATTGTAAAACTATTGTAAAAATAGCCCCTTTTGTTTGCTTTTGGTCATGGCAGTTAACTCATTCTGAAATTGTCAACAGATATTTTTATGTTTAAATAGAGACATTTGTTGCCTTAGGTTATTTTATTTTTTATTTTATTTTTATAATTTATTCACTTTACATCCAGAATGTAGCCTCTCCCTCATTTCTTCCCTATCCCACCCTCCCTGTGTCTCCCCCATACCCCTCCTCTAGTCCACAGCAAGGGGGAGCCCTTCTCCTCTACCATTTGACCCCAGCCTATCAAGTTTCATAAGGACGGCCTGCATCCTCTTTTTCTGTGGCCCAGCAAGCCCAACTCCCCACCCTCACCAAGGGGAGGTGATCAAAGAGCTGGCAACAGAGTCCCTGTCAGAGACAGGCCCTGCTGCCCTTACTGGGGCATCTACATGAAGACTGAGCTGCCTATAGGCTACATCTGAGCAGGGGGTCTAGGTCCTCTCCATACCTGGTCATTGGTTGGTGCATCAGTCTTTGCAGGTCCTCCTGGGCCCAGATTTGTTGGCCTTAGGTTATTTTCAAAGATGGATTTTTAGGCCAAGTTCTGGGGAAGTCTCACAAAGTTTGGGGATGAAGAGGATATTGGTGGGTCACTGTCATAGAGTCAACAGAGAAAGGCCAGTTTTATCTACACTATTTCACCAGGGTGAGTTTTTGAAAAAAGGTTGTGTGGTGTGAACACACAGAGAACCAAACCTTTCTCTTATACTCCAAGATTATGGGTCTTAAGAATTTTCTCAATCTAGAAATTGGGTCTTCATTGTCATAAAGAAACAAAAAGGGAAGTGTTTTGTAACTGTTTAAATTATCTAATATTTATACCAATAAAGACAAAGGAAGTGGGAACTGAGGTAAAAACCTGCTAGCTTAGCCAGGTAACTTTATTTTCCGAACTATATACAAAATATCTATTTCCTTTTATTTTGTTTTTCAAGGTCTCTCACTCTTTTTTTTCTTATTTTTTTTTAATTTTTTTATATTAATCACAGGTTATTTACTTTTTATCCCAGCCGTAGCCCCCACTCTCATTCCCTCCCAATCCCACCCTCCCTCTATCGTCTCCTCCCTGCCCCTTTCCAAGTCCACTAACAGGGGAGGACCTCCTCCCCCTCCATCTGATCCTAGCTTATCAAATCTCTTCAGGACTGGCTGCAATGTCCTCTTCTGTGACCTAGCAAGGCTGTTCCTCCCTCGTGAGAGGGGAGTGGAAGAGCTCGCTGTTGAGTTCATGTCAGAAATAGTCCCTGTCCCCCTAATTAGAGAACCCATTTGGACACTGAGCTACCATGGGCTATATCTGAGCAGGGGTTCTAGGTTATATTCATACATGGTCCTTGGTTGGAGAAAGAGTCTCATGAAAGACCCCTGTGCCCTGATATATTTGGTCCTTGTAGTGCTCCTGAACTCTCCAGGTCTTACTAACACCCCCTTCTTTCATATGATTCCCTGCACTCTGCTGATGGTTTGATTATGAGTCTCAGCATCTGCTTTGATACACTGCTAGGTAGAATCTTTCAGAGGCCCTCTGTGTTAGGCTCCTGTCCTGTTACTTATTTTCTCCTACATCCTGTCCTCTCCAGGTCATATTAACTCCCCTTCTTTCATATGATTCCCTGTACTCTGCCCGAAGGTTTGGTTATGAGTCTCAGTATCTGCTTTGATACACTGCTAGGTAGAGTCTTTCAGGGGCCCTCTGTAGTAAGCTCCTGGCCTGTAATTTG